AAAAAAGTCATTCAGGTTTGGATCAAAAATGAGGGGGAGTAAATATGACAGAAAAATGACAGAATTTAAATTGTTGGATGGACTCTTCCTTTAAAATATTAAGTTAACATGCAGTCCAGAATCAAAAGCGAATGAAAACTATCCCAAGTGCTTTGAATGCATAAAACTAATTTTATGCTTGTTGTTTTGTTTCCCAGCAGGATGAGTTGGTGCTCCCGGTAAGATCTAAGAAGTCTCCCTTTAGTGGCCTTTGGTGCGTCGTGCTCGGCTTGGTGATCTTCCTGTCAGGCTTGATCATGGCGTCGGTATGCCTGTACCGATACTACTTCAACCCGCAGGTGAGACGCTAGACGTCACTGGATCTCTTAATCATCTTTTATTCACGAACAAGCCTATTAAAGTCCATTGCCATAGCGATCACCATAGCAACACCTTGCTGGAGCTTCCGTTCACTGGTTCAAGTGCACTCTATTGAAGTGCTCTGCTTTCTTTCTCCAGATCCCAGAGGACAGTTTGTTCCACTGTCGGGTGATGTACGAGGACCCCCTGTTCGCCCCATTACTCGGAAGACAGGAGCTAGAGGAGAACGTCGGCATCTTCCTGGATGACAACTACGAGCAGATCAGCGTGCCTGTGCCCGACTTCGGAAGCAGCGACCCGGCTGACATCATTCACGACTTTCACAGGGTGAGGATCTTTCCTAGAAGCACTTGAAGCGAAGTTCTGCCCGTTTAGCTCTGGTACAGTTTCTTCTAGTTCTCTGGCTGCACAAAAGCTGGTGTTAGTCACCACGGCTCCCCCAGATGGACTGTGAACCATTTCTAAGGAAACCTTTTGTCTGCTAAAATCATTGTTTAATATTCAGCGCAATGTGCCAGGCACAGGAGTACATGCAAATGTTTGTGTGAAAGCCACATTTCCAAGTTCCCCAGAAGCTATAAATCTATGAGAATGTCAGCAGAACATTTAATTGAACATTTAATTTTGTTCTCTCCCACCTACATTTAATTGAACATAAGTGCACTAAAACAGCAATATTGTGAAATATTATTACAATTTAAAAGACTTTTCTATTTGAATATATTATAAAATGCTATTTATTTCTGTGATGCAAAGCTGAATTTTCAGCAGCATTACTCC